GCTGATCACCACAAATTTTCAAAGATAATGGTCAATGGCTCTCCAATCACATCAGCCAACTCCTCACACCCTCGCTCTGGGATGTCTCCAGTTGGTCAGTGTTGAGGCATGCTACTAGGGGGAAGAGTGGGAACTGTGCTTAGCCACAACATGAGTACAACACAGGCTATGGCTACGAAGAGGGCTTCACCTTCTAGTGGTTTTGTGACACTGCACCCCCTATTCTTCACAATCATATAATATCACTGTGACATAATCACCATGTATTTTATGCAACTCATGTGAGAGGTCATTGGAAAGGTTATGATTTGCTGAATATGATTATCCTATTTATATGCATGTATCATTTTTGTATCTTAAGTTATTAATATTGTGTATCTGTATTTCAAATGTAGTTACTCCTGGGTAATGCCCACTAGACAAGATGTTTTCATTCTAGACAGTGAGTGGGGAAGGGCCATTAGGGAAAAACAATAGGCCTTAGGAGAAGCTTATCTCTCACCTGGTGAGCCTTCCTGTGAATGCTCCAAATAGCCTGTGAGTGATGGCTGCTATAAGACTACAACAACATGTGATGAGACCACATGTCTCTAGACTCCATTTTGGGATGTCAGTGTTTTTCTCCAGACCTCTCTGGGAACCCAGCTTTTGGAACAAAGGGTTCCCACCAAATGCAAAAGCTATGTAAGGCAGGGAGTGACATCATCTGGGGTTCTTTGTTCCCAATACAAGACTCCTCCTGGAAACACCTGAGGAACAAAGACTGAACTGAAGGAAGTGCTGGACCCAGACTAAAGGGATTTTTAGCCTGTGAATGAACACCTGGGGGTTCCAAGTTGTAAAGAAAGTGCAGCTTGCCCTTCAAGAATCTGCAGCCTGCTTGTATTATCTCTTTGGATACAAACAGCAGATTATCACCCTATCTATTTAGTATATTAAGTTTAGTTTGAGGGTTTTTTTTGTTTATTTGCTAGATAATTTGCTTTGAACTGTTTGCTATCACTAATAATCACTTAAAATCTATATTTTGTAGTTAATAAACTTGTTTTTGCTGTATCTAAACCAGTGTATGGGAATCATAACTCAGGGGCAAAAGACTGTTGCATATTCCTCTCCACATTGAGGAAGGGGGCAAATTTTATGAGCTTACGCTGTACAGTTCTCTAGTCTTCATATTAGGGATAACTGGAAAGCAGACATTTCTCATCATAATTTTACATCTAATTATTCCCCCAGCTATCTCTGCTCTATGCCTATTTATTTGGGGTTTATACTTCAGAAGGGGTGCATGCCTGAGGAGCTGGGAGCAACTTCCCATGCAGGGACTGGTCAGAGAGCTTGCTTGTAACTGCAGCTGGGTGTGTCCCTACCTGTATGTATGCAGGCTGGAAAGCTTTGTAGCTTGTCACAGCAGTACAGTGTTAGAGGGAGCGCAGGCTGATGGGTCAGGGGGCTCAGTGGTACCCCAGTTTCAGGTGGCACCCTGTGGGGAACCTGTCACACTCTGCTTAGCCACAACATGAGTACAATACAGGCTGTGGTTATGAAGAGGGCTTCACCTTCCAGTGGTGTCAAACACACACATACTAAATTGACATTTTAAAAAAATATCCAACCTTTCCTTTATGAGCTATACCTGTAGACCATCCCAAATCCAGAGTGTGCTAAAAAGACTTAATAAATGTATATCTAAGGCTCTGATCCAGCAAAGCACTACAGCAAGTGCTTAACTTTAAGCACAAAAGTAATCCTACTGAAGTTAAATGTGTGCAGGATTGGGGCACAGGCAGACTTTCAATGATAGCAAGTAAGACAAGAGGCAGCATGGTATTTAGAATTATCTGACAAATGAGAAAGGCTGCACATTGCATAGCCATTGCATAGCGTATTTCACATTGTTAAGACTTTGTTTCAAGGGCTCATGGGCTCCTTGCTAAAGTTACTGAATTTATCAGCTATGCTATTAAATGCTGCTACCATTGTGTTTTTAGGGCAATTATAAATGAATACCAAATACATGGATAATGACAGAATCTAAAAATGTCACCATAGTATTGAATCAGTATTTCCAATTTTAAAATACTACCCTTTAGCTTTATGTTTCATTAAAACGGCAAAACCCTTACTGCAGTAATTGCTAGGGACAATTCAAGACACTCCATAAAGACTTAGGAAGGTAGAGCTATGTCAAGTAGATACAGTGCAGTTCATAGAAATAAATAAAAATGCTGTTATCAGACCTCACACTGGATGGACCTCAAAGTGCTTGACTGTGAGGCCTATCTCCATATTAGAGATAACTGGAAAGCAGACATTTCTCATGATAGCTGGGGAATAATTAGATGTAAAATAGGGGGGAAACGCTCTCTACTCTATGCCTATTTATTTTTTTAAGCTAAAACTTCCAATAACCACCACAAGGGAGTCTTGCCCAATACCCGTGACAAAAATCACATACCTAATAAAGCTATAACAATGCCCAGTGCAGAGCTTAGTATTGTAAATAAATTACGCAGCTAGATACACCAAGCTACTCCCATCCCATGGTTTGGAAAGGGGAAAATGCCTACTGAACCTCAACATGACATTCTGTAAGTTTCTGGTAGTAAAACATGGACCTGACCTATCATGCTAGATAACATAGCCCATCAACTAGCAGGTTCCCATGGACCTGAAACTTTGTGTCTTGGTCCCAGTCACATAATCTGGGTCAGAGCTCTAAAGGCAACATGCACTTGTCACCTGACAAGGGCCAATATTTGTTAGTGTTAGAGACACAACCCCGAACACGAGCCAGAAGACAAAGAGTGGAAAGAAGAAGCAATTCTTTGCTGGTTGGCAGGGCTGGCCTTCCCTTTCTGACATTTCCAGAGGAAGTGATGGCAAGCCACTCCCAAGAACTGGCAAGGGCATTACCTACTGGCCACAGAAGAGAGCAAGGGAGACAGCAATTTGCATTTGCTTTTGCACAGAGACCATTTTAACTAAAAAAACATGCTTGAATTGTTTTTCTTAATTGCTTTAGTAAATTATATACAGAGGGGGAAAAGTACTAGATTGGCAGACATGGAAACTGAAGCCCTTGCAAGAGGAAGGATGAACCTGTAATTAAAGTACTACCCGAAATTCTGGATTCAAGTCAATAGAGCTGAATCTGATTCAATATCCTGCTCTACCACAGATGCCCCGAGTCATCATGGGCAAGTCACAATCTTGCCACGCCTCTGCTCCCCATCCCTACTTCCTTTCTCCTGCCACTTGTCTATCTTGCCAATATAGATTGTAAGCTTTGGGGGGCAGGGACAGCACCTAGCACAAACAGAGCTCAATGCTGGCTGAGACAGCTAGGCACTACCACAATACAACTATCAGAGGGGGCAAGTTAGTCCTTCATTTCCATATCCGGTTGTGTTCCTTATAGTCTCAGCAAGGAGGACAAGCAACAATTGTACTGCCCATTTAGATATGACTATATGCCTATAGTCCAAGAACGTATACCTACAAATCAGAATGCACCTCAACTTTACTTACAAGAGTCTTATAAATTCTGTATATTGAATGGTCCTTCTAATGTAGCCTGTTAGCATAACAATTGTTTATGGATTAAATTCACAAACAAAATAGCTTATATCAGAGATGGAAGAATCCACCTGCACTTCAAGGGGTCCTTTGCCATCAATCAACAGAAGGTTCAGTGGGGTGGGGTGCGGGGTGGGGGGGGGAGGGAACATTCAGCATTCACATTACAAGAACAGAAATAATCCTGGAATCCCAAAATGCTTTAATAAAATGATCTCTTTTACAGGGAAATGTGGATCAAAATTAATCCTCTTGCCTTAAAAAAAAAATCCTTTTTAAAGATTAGGTAAAGAATCCTTTTAGACAGTAATTAATATTTGGAAATGTTCACGTATCACAGGATAAGCAAGCTCCAGAGCATTAGAGAATTGTGCCTTTTTTCAGTCCAACAAAATCAAACCTTTCCTATTAGAATAGCCATGTTAATCTATAGTTCATGCAGAATTTAATTTTGCCCTTTGCAAAAAGCAGTCCATTAAAAAACTGCAAAAGCTTAAAACTCAATGCTCTGCTATGGTTTAAGTGAGAGTGTTTGAGATAAATATTTCCTCTTTGCTTTTTTGCACATTAATGGAGATTAGGAAGTTATGTTCCTGCTCAATACAATAAACATGAGACTATGGATGTATATCTGTCTGGCTCAACATTCATTTCCTGGAACGGTAGAATATAGTAGTGTTTCAAGAGATAAGCTTCTTCAGCAATTAATTTATGATAAATAGATCTGTCTTCTTTTGTAAACCCTAACATTTCAGCAACCAAGAACTACATGTAGGAGTTATTGCTTCTTTCACAGGCTGCAGGTTTCTCAAATCCCAAACTGTAATTCTGGTGGCTTTCCAAAAAGTGCTTCCTGGAAACAAATTAGCTGTAGTGACTTAAATAAATACACGTGGTGTTATCACTATGTTTAGTTTAATTTTTTTTATTACGGTAAAAGAACAAGGGCAGAGACAGTTGCTGTTTTTCAGAGACACATTATCCTGTGGGGAAAGGCAGATGGTTTCCTGACAGAGCAATCCAAATTCATTACTGAACTGGTTTAAAAAATAGTAATAAAAAAAATCTAGGTGTCTTGATTTAATACTAGGATCTTTCAAGCATGTTTCTAAAACATATGAGAGTATATTAAAACATACGAGAGCTTTTAAAATGTACAAATTAATAATTCCTGAAGTATAACCATTTGAGTCCTATTTAGTCTTAATGTGGCTCTCAAAATTCTGTCAATAGGATTTCCTCTGGTATTCAACATTAACTAGATCATTACATTTTAAAGTGCTATTAACACATTGAAAGGCAAAATGGGTAGCCCACTGTTTAAAGGTGAGGAATGTCTGTGCCTTTAAACCAAAATGAATTCCCTTCCAAAGTGATATTTCATTGTACAGATGCGGTAAAAGCAGTATAAATAACATTACCTGTTAGCAAGTCAGTTGTCACCATAGATAGAGCTGAGGAGAAACAACAATGGATTTCAAACTGACAGCCTATTGATCAACTTCATCCATGCTCAGTGTACATTCAGATCAGCTGCAGCTCTAAATGAGGAGAGAATCTCTTCACTTGAGAGCAGATTCCCCTGGATGCCAATTTTGTTACACATTCCAAATGAAATAAAGAGGGCTATTTCCCCCCTCCCCCTCCCCGCCAACAGTGGAAGACGAAATGTTATCTAAAGCCACCTACCTCAATTCAAAGCAGTTTGAGTATTAAAAACAATGACGGTTTAATTTATGATACACAGCACTTTGTAATCAGATCACAGCTTTTTCTAACTACAAGCTCTCTGACTGTTTCTCTTCTTGGGTTGCCTGGAAAGGTTTATATTTAGCACATGACCCTTTACAACACAGGAATTATAGGAGAGATTCCTGAAGATTTTAGCATTCAGAATTTCAGCCTATCGTTTTTCTTCACACATCTCTGAGGCCAGTTGTGACTTCTTTCTAGTGATATTTGGGGGAAAGGGTATAAGCATGGGGAGTTTCATGCTCCTTTTGCTTCTCTCGCTTTCTGTCTCTTATCAGAAGGGGTGGGTGGAAATGCCAATTTTACAACAGCAGAATGGGTGGAAAAGGCAATTATACCCACGAAATATAGAAAGCAGAGTGATGTCTCTTCAGGTGCAAACAACCTGGAGTTCATTTCACAGCTGTTGGAGGATTCTATATTACATGCAACTTTTTAAGCCAGTGTTGATGGCAACAGAGTTGCTTGTTTGCTTTTTGACTAGGACATGGGTCAAAGCTCACTGGTTCAGGAACATTTTTATGATTTCTCCAGCTGGGAATTCTGAAAACAGAACAGTTTTCTCTCAAGTGAGCATTTGAGGCATAAACATGCTTAATGAAAGGCTTGATATGCTGAACACTCACATTTACGATACATAGCACACTTCAAAGAAATATGGGATGGGAGTGTCTGTGTTCCCCACAAACCCCTCAGTGGTTGGTCTGGATTCATACATGCTGATGCACACAAGATATGGGGCCAGATACCCAATTCTCCTCCCACACTGGGAGTTACTCAATTGATTTAAGAAAATAAGTGTCATCAGTAATGATCTAAGTACCTCTATGGGAAGAATTTGGATAGTAGACCACTCTAATGTAGCAAACAAAGGCTTAATAAGACCTAGTGGCAGGAATTTGAAGCTAGACAAATTCAGACTAGAAATATGAAGGATTTTTTTTTTAAAAGAACACTGAGTAAAATTAACCATCGGAATAACTTTACTTAAAGCCCTAGTGGATTTGCCATCAATTTGAAGTCTTTAAATCAAGACTGAATGTCTTTCTAAAATATATGCTACATCTTAAATAGACGTTTTGGACTAGATGCAGGAATTAATTACATTCACTCTACGATCTGTGTTATGTAGCTGGTCGGGTGACCATAATGGCCTCTTTTGGCCTTATTTAAAAAGAAACTGTTACACCTGTATAAAGCCAGGATCAGTGAGAGGTGAATCACCAGTCAGAGCTGTTGTGCAGTAGGAAGAAGAGGAATACTCCATTCTTTGAGGTATGCAGGGCTTCCACCACCACCCTCCCTCAGAGGTGCTGCCAGAGGAAGGCAGTTTTAATCCGATCCACAGGAACCTTGCTGGAAGCTGTGGTGGTAGAGTGTTTCCCTACTCAATAGTTCCTCTTGGTGGCTGCAGTTCACAGCAACCTTCAGGCCACTGGATGAAGGGCTGGTTGCTGCCACTTACCTCCTGTGTGTAACTGTAACCATGGAGATTCTGTGCCAGAGTAAACCTTGGATCAATCTTGGGCTATAAAGTCATTCATTTTCATCCCCTTTTACCTTAGGGCCCTTGCTACCATGCACCGCATTGCCCGTGCTGCTGCTCAAAAAATGCCTATAAAACTTTCCCTTCCATAAAAGAGCTCTTACTCATTACGGGAGCAGTCTGATTTTTGAAGGGGAGGCTTGGAAGATTGTGTATTTCCTTCCCCTTTAGAGGCAATACAGCAGCTTGCCTCAATACCTCTTAGATGTATGAATGCAGAACAATTTCCAATCAAGTTTCCAACCCTGAAGTTGTTCAATACTTAACAGAAAAATTAAATCCAGCAGCAACATTTTCCTCCATTCCTGCTCACCCCCATCCTCCGTCTTCTTACTCTGTTCCTCCAGTTCTTCCCCCCCCTCTCTCCCCACAACTCCATAGCCAGGGAATGCCTGCTCAGACTCTCACTCTGTCCATTCTACTTTCATTTGCAGCAGTAGAAACTTTGTTCCCTCTCTTCTCAAGCCACCAAACCACTTTCTCAGTGACTTTAAATACTGCCTTAAAATCTGCTTGCAATTCCAAGCCTTTTTGTGATACTGTATATATTAAGGATGCTCCAGTTGGGCTGCTGGTGTGTGTGGGAAGTATTTCTGAATCTGTCTGCTGCTAAATGAGGCAGCAAGCAGGCTCTGAAACTCAAATCTTAATGGAGGTTCCATATCAAATGAACACACCCATGCCTCTCAAACAAAACCTATCCGGGCTGAAAAATGGAGGTTATCAAGACAGCCTCATTGGTGGTAATTCACTAATTTCACTGGACATCCCACTTATAGCACAGAATCTGTCGCTCTTTTTGTGCCTAAACTGTTAGAGCTGTTAAAGACCCAGATTGCGGGGGGTGGTGGAGCTAATAAAAACTAAAGAATGTGCAGTGGGCGGTACTGCAGATACCTGTCTAATTCCAGCCCAAACAGTCTGCCACTCATTTATGGGATAGGTTAGCATGCTGATTAGTGACTGAAGCTGAAAAGGAGGAAATGAAGAGTAGTTGCTCTGGCTTAAACCACTAAACTATGTCAGAAGGCAAATGCTTAGTGCCAGCAGACAATCGGTTCTTTCCTGAGAAAGAAGGGAGCAGATGTATATCAAATTACATAGGGTACATTAAAGTCTAGTGACTGACACTGTTTGCCCCCCAGTGTGTATAATGATATCTCCATCACCACCAAGCTCTTCTCTTCCTCCATATGATGTTAGTAGTGTTTTGTTTGTTTTTATTTACAATATCAAGGGCCTGATTCACCACTGTGTTACTAGACAGGTTTCAGAGTAACAGCCGTGTTAGTCTGTATTCGCAAAAAGAAAAGGAGTACTTGTGGCACCTTAGAGACTAACCAATTTATTTGAGCATAAGCTTTCGTGAGCTCACGAAAGCTTATGCTCAAATAAATTGGTTAGTCTCTAAGGTGCCACAAGTACTCCTTTTCTTTTTGTGTTACTAGAGTTTCTTTTAGTAGATGTAACTAAAAGTTTCAATAAAATTAAAAGGGGATAACACTGGAATAATGCCGTAGTGAATTTGATCCTTAGGAGTGGGTACAGAACATCGATCCAATACAGGGAGATACATGAAGGCCCTGTGTAATCTGCCTATAAGATATAAAATTGTAGTTATATGTAACTCATGTTATGATAGTGGGGGGGGGTGTCTTTGTCTCCAGGTTTATCAGCCTGCCACTGCTTGCAGTGAAGAGACTCTATGCTTCAGTTTGAGCCGTAGAGACTAATGATTTTTGTGTTAAAGATCCTGGATTCAGTCCCCTCCATTGGCCCAAACCGAACAAGTTATACTCAATGCTCACAATGCTCACATTGGCTGGTCAGTTTATTGCCTGAAGAAAAGGGATGACAAATTTAAAACTCTCTCTCACTATGTTTCTATCACATGCAGATGCAAATCACTGGAAAGATGTTCTCCCAAACTGAGTGGTTGATCACATCACAGAGAACTCCGATTTGTACATCTCCCTAATTTAATTAGGGAACCATTTTAAATTTTCCCCTTTTAGTTTCAGTAGGTTTTCTCCTTTACCCTTTGGGAAGAACACTCAAATCTGAGAAGTTAATACCTATGGCTCACCTTTGCCATGAAGCCTAAAAATTGCTGCCAGTGACCATGGCTAGACAGGTGGCAAACTGACACTCTCGTCCTTTCTTCCTTTTCCAAAATCCACTGCTTCTGCCATAACTCCTCACCCTACTGCTACCCTCTCCACAATTAAAAAGCACCAGCAAAACAACTATCAAAACTGTGTCAATTGTGACCATGTTCATGTATATTAAAGCTCTATATCCCTCCCCACTTTGGCTGTAAACTTTCCGGGAGGCATTGCTTCTCCATCTGATTTGGAGAGTGCCAGGCATAATGGTGGCCTGCTCCTTATTAGATCCTTTTGATAACTAGTCACTGGAACTAGAGGATGTAGTGAGTTTTCCATCACCTGGAATCTTTAAATTGATACTGGGATGTCTTTCTAAAAGATATTCTGTAATTCAGCCACAAGTCCTTGATCTTGATGGCTTGATTCAGGAATTATCAAGTCAAATTCTATGGTTTGTGTTACACAGGAGGTCAGATTAAATAATGGTCCCTTCTGGTTTAAAAAAAAAAAAAAAAAAAAGCAATGGATCAGTTTAGACTGACTATAACTTACTCCAACAGGTTTTTGTTGCAAGCTAGGCCGAGTCCCTAGATGTATTGTGCATTTCAGTCTCCGCCTATCCATAACAGAAGAGTTCATTGTTATTCCTGGCTTGTTTTTTTAAAAACACTGCTCCACGTCTTGGCCCATACCCAGAAAAGGAAGCAAGAGTCAAAGGAGGCAATTTGATTATGCTGGGTTGCATTAAATAGATGACTGTAAAAAGTGGATCTGTCCTATTAAAGGGAATACTCATGCTGACTAATGTGCTGTCAAGTGCAACCTGTCATCATCCAACTAAAAAGGCATTATTCATAGTTATTACTGAAGAAAAGATATCAATATCTTTCTGCAAAATGTTTTGACCTCCAATGCCGCAATTTATTACAAAGGGATGTTTACATCTTGATTAGATAGCATCTCTGTGGGTTCCCAATGAGCATTATATGCTAGAGTAATTCTTTTCCTCAGAGGTCAGAGAGAGTTCAGTTTTATGGCAGGTGAGTGGAAAGGAGTCTCACTTTTTATGGATGGCACGAGCAGCTGAACATTATATATTGTCCTAAAGAAAAGGTCTTGGAAGTAGTTTCAGAGAAAAATGGATTTACAGCTTTTCCACAGTCATTACTCCTGACAATGCATCCAGCAGGCTCTATTCAAACTGGAAAGTAGCTGTGTGCTATTCACTTTCAACATGGGAGTGAAACAAAAGCACCTGCCTCAGGATTTCCCCTCAATTTATCTTCCATGTTTTGTTTCTAAGGATGTGTGCACCAGCTCAGAAAGCGTTGCCATATCTAGAAAAACTAAATTTCAGAAACACACCCCTTCTTCCAATTTCCTCTCTC